TAATGATGAATCATTGATAAGTGGACAAGAGAGGACTTTCTCTCAGTTTCTCTTTGCCTTGCTCTATCTCAGCTTTTAACATCTGCTTTCTAGCTATGACTATGACTTCTTCTTTCGTGCTTCCTCGCTGGCTTTCTCTCTGTTTTTCTCGCTCTTGCTTCTTGTCAAATGTCAATTTTAGCATTCGCTGTCTCTTCCTCTCCATCTGTCTCTCACTTTCTTCACTTCACATTTACTGTTTTACTTTCAATCACTCCTTTTTTTCTCCTGTCTTGACATTTCCGTCTTTTTTCCTTCATCAGAGCTCAGGTTTATGTTGACGCTTCCCTCCCTACAGGTGCTTCAAGGGCATGAACGCATATAGATGCTGCTACGTCCTTCCCTCTCTGCCTGCACTGCCTGATCTACTTTCTTTCATTTGAGAGTCTGCTGTCAGTTTGGAAGGGTTGTTATATGTAATTTTGTGGAAACTGCAGCCAGCCTGCAATCACTCTTTCTGTTTCTCAGGGTCCACATCTCTGGGTTTTAGTTTTTCATTTCTGCAGCCTGCGACATTCACTCAACATCTGATCTCTCTCACAAAATAAATCTTTTTGAATTTTATTAAAGCTTCTTGAATAAATAACTAACATCTTTCACTTGTCCATGCACTTCATGTTCCACTGATATAACAAACCTCCAGTACTGATATTATTATTATTTTTAAATACTTCAGTTTAAATAACAGCTGCTGGCACTTGAAGTTCACAAGATTACCATCCTTGTGAGCCAATTTGTGGCAGAGGGGACTCATCCAGGATACAGCTCCAAATGTTGTTAGGTGAAATGTAGCCTTGGTGTGGTATTTTGGACCCAGACTCAGTTGGGGTAGCTGCTTCCTGAGGCAGTCTTACCAAACTTGGTTTGCTTTCTCTCTGGGAATGGAAGGCTGTATTGATCAGATAGATTTAGCTTAATTTGTGAGAAAGCTCACCCACTAAAAGTACAAGAGGAATTTCAGGTATAAATCAAAATACTACTCTTTTGAACTTTTAAGCAGCTAACAAATTATGTGGTTTCTGGTCTTATTGGCTGTGCTGTGTACATGGATTCTAGGAACAAGTCTATCCAGAAACAATGCTCCGGTTCCTCTGAATAACACACACTTCACTGTTCTCAGTGATTCTTTATTTAAGAACTCACTACAAAATGTTCACAGTGAGATCTCAGGATTATTCAGAGAAACTGTGTTCAAAGTTTTTGAAATGTGTGATTTTTCCATTTCCAATTCCATTTGGCCCCATTGCATAAGGGCTGCGGAAGAAGAAACTGTAATGCTACTGCTCCTTTAAAACAGTTGTCATCTCTTTGAAATGATGAGGATGAAGCAGAACTTAAAGCTGCGATAATCAGTAAATTTAGATTAACAATTGAGATCGCCCTCAGACTTTTGCCATCTGTTTGTTTTTAATTTCACTGTTTTGGTTCACTCTTACCACTTTAATCAGTGTCATTTCCAACAGCAATAACTTTGTAGGGTGATAATATGTGTTTACAGCTTGTTGTGCTGCTTCCAAGTGGCCAAAACATTAGATAATACAGGAGGCAGCCATGATAATCCAACCTCGCTCCCAAGTTGTCACATATTGACGCTTTGTCAAGACCCGTTGGTGTGAGTTTGTAACGCACTGGGGAGCCCCATAGCGTCATACTTCCACGGGCTAGGGAAAGCCCTGAAGCGTCACTTTTGAAGGCTGAAGGTAGGTGTAGGATATTTAACGTAAAAGTCAAAGTAAGGAGGTGGTTTGGGCGGGTGGTGGGCCAGAAACCAGACTTTCAACCAGGAACGTTAAAAACATTAACAACGTGCAATTTCAAAATTGCAGTGTTTCGCAACGTTAACAAGTACTTAGTATCGAAAGTGTAACTTTCCTAGGAGCCCTAAACATCACGAAACAAAGCTAAAGGGGGTAACCAGGGCATTAAAAAGTGATGCCAAAGGGTCTTGACCAAGTGTCCATATGTGACGAGTTGCGAGTAAAAGTGTGTTTGAAAATCCAGTATTTCTGCTCTGCAAAATCTACATTTGCTCTCTCAACACTATCGCTATCCGCATGGTATATGTTTCAGTTACTCACATCTGCAAGTCAGACTCACACACAACTACATAGAGTATTTGAAATTGCCATCCTGTCTGTGTGTGTCAAGAAGCAGCGAGGAGATGGTGAGAAGTAACCTGCACCAAATGTTGCCCATGTTTATTGATGAGAAAGGAGCAGAATAATGCAGTCAATATAAATAATGTACACCAGCTACAGCTTTTTACTCGACTCTCAGAAAGAGACGGACTGCGACATCATCCAGAGTCAGTGAGGTGAGTTGAGCTTTTCTCATGCACACCTGTTCAGTACAGTACAAGGCCTAACAAGCTCTTCACACTTTTGGATGACAAGTTCATCATAATCGTCACCACTGACTGTGCTCATGCAGGGGGCGTTTGTGCATCTGCGAGCACGTGTTTATGATTTGGAAAACCATGTTGCCATGAGAAGGTGCTGTTTGTTTTTGATTAGCACTGGTAGTGTGCTACCATCTGTGGTTATATTTCTGTTGTTGAGATGAACTTTGATCATCGGTCCGGTATAGGAAAAATGCAGAGGTTTTACACAAACAGCGGTAATGTGGGCACAACTGTGGATTACTCACAGTTCTCCGACTCTCTGTCTGACTCTGCTGTTCATACTGACACCACTATCTCTCAGTCTTTCTCCCCACACGCTCAGTGTCAACATGCTGCAGGGCACATACATCTGGATGTATGTGGAGCATAAGGACGGGACCGCGTGGGGAGAGGAAATCGACAGTGGAAAGAGAGAAGGATGAAGACCCAAGGGGAGCAATCAGAAGGGGAAAACCGTAATGTGACCTAACATCCTACACACAAATGGAAGCGCACACATGTGCAAAAATGCTTAGACTTACAAGAAAACACACATACACACAACTACAGATCCAGATAGAGGACGGTAAGAGACATTACAGAGATCATTTCTTTCAGAGCAACCTCAGTCACCTCTCCTGGAGAAGAGAAAAAAACACACTCAAGACTATAAATACAAACACACATGTATATACTAGCTGCTCCATCTCTCTTGCACTGTTCCTCTCTGGGGGGTCATAAATCAATCACTGCCAGAATACTGCACTTCAACAGTGCAACCGAAAGTCACATACACACATCCACAGGCACATAGTAACATACATTTATTCAGTCTGTCACCACATTAGCATTCACTCTTTGGTTTGCTAATTTGAATGTCAAATGTGGACTTTCACCTCTGCATCAAATGTGAATAGTTCAAGCAGTGCCAAAAATGTATATCCTCCTAAAACAACTGTATCTTTAAACAGCAACAAATGCTTTCTTAGGATAGTGAATCCTTGGGTTGCTTACCGTGAATGCTTTATGTTTTTTCAGCCAAACTCAACTGAACGGAAGGCACAGAAAACAACTACACCCTGCTTCTGTATTCGGGGATTTTCACACAGCTGAATCTACTGAACTTGAATCACTTCTACAACAACAAATGAGCCAACGGAAATAAAAGATGAAAGCCTGTCAGCTTACAGCTCTTTAGCTGCACATATAACATGTCTATATTTGAACAATAACCATCGTTATATTGCCTATGTAGAAAGGGGAGGACTGATGGAAGTGTGGTTATCATTCACAAAGAATGAGGAAAATATCAGCCAAGCATTAAAAGGAGCAAAACAGAGATAAATAAGTTCTAGTAAGTCAGTATGACACATACTACAAGAGGCAGTAGATTAGTTACACTTGTAGCCATTGCAGAAGTCATGCTGTTTGAAAACTGTGTGATAAATCAAGATAAATGGTAAATATGTGTGTGTGTGTGTGTGTGTGTGAATGAGGGAGGGGAAGCTTCAACAATGGCTACCACAGCAGTTTTACATCAACATGACAAAGACTACAACAGTTCAGTTTAGTCAGCATGCATGTTATTCACCAGCGGCACTGAGACCCGCTGAACCTCCTTCAGACAGCAGCTGTTTCCACCTGAACTGGATGGATTCATGGATACGTGATGGTCTGCGCATTAAATGAGATCTGGATAGCGTGCAACCACACACCAGAATTTTAGCGCCCATTAATTCATGGAACAGTTTTGTTTCTTATAACATCATAAATGTAGCTATCCCGTCTTGGCCTCAGATTATCACCCTTTGAGCTGAAATAACCACTGCAAGGAAAACGTCAAATATATCCCCCATAATATTCTGTACGAGTACTAAAACTGGATTTAAACTTCTGCCTTAACGGAGCTACAGCGACTCCAAGGTTAGAGTGAAGACAACATTAAAGAAATTACAGGAAGAAAGGTTTAGAAATCAAAACTCTATGCTGTTGGTACCTTCGGCAGGACTCCCGTTAACCACTTGTGCCGACAGAAGCTTAACTGGCAACAATAAAAAAAAAAAACTAGAGCAACAATTTTTAATCCAAGAAAGAGGAAATTTATTTTTCAAAATGCAGTTAGAGGTGCAATCTGACATTTAGGTAAGCTGACATGTATCATCAAAAAGTTACACTTGTAATTGTATTAGATTAAACATCTGCATTATGTGTGCTAAATGTTTTTTGTTTGGTTATAATTAAAACAATACAGACCAGTTTAATTGTTTAACAGAATAAGAAATCATAAATAACTTGATTTAGTTGTCCCCTGCGTGCCTCTGTATTAAAATACATGTCAATTTGGAACTGAGTTCAGGTTCCAATTAGTTTTTAACTTTGCTATTTTGGATCAAATCTTTTGAAATGTGTTTATGATGTATCCATAAAGCCATCCATGTTACACTTTAATAGTCAAAAGCTTTGATCTGAACAATCACAAACAACAAATTAGACAAATCCCAAATTATTTGGGGATTAATTCTGTATTCTCCTTTACCAGAGGATGGAAACCACCAGTGCAGATAAAAGGCAGGAGTCTTACCTTTGATGCCAAACTTGGAGTTTCCTCCAAACTTGAGAATAACTAGCATTAGAAGGAAACCCGTGAATGCGACAGCAGCAATGCCAACCACCACGTACACCTGCACAATGCAAGAACAGAGTTATACACCTCCTAGAAGAGACAAACACGGGCAAACACACACAATACACACCACACCAGATGATTTAGACCACAGGCAGATTTTCTAAAGTACTGTTTGTGTTGGTTCATTCAATTACTTCTGACATTGAACAATAGATCTAGCACAGGTGTTTTTAGACAGGTAGCACAAATAAATAGAAGAGAAAAAAAAAAAAGGAAAAACAGGCACTAACAGTCAACAACTGACAGAAGCAATCAGCAAAGAAACCGAGACGGAGTACAACAGTAATACGTGACTTACAGCGACTCTGTCTTCAGGTGGGTCTACAGGGGGGCCCTCTGTTGATGGAGAGATATGAACAAATAGAGAAGAAGACCAACTCAAGAAGTGATTTGTGAGTGATGAACAGCGTTGTATGTAATATGAACTTTTACTTTCTTGAGGAAATAGGCATAAAATATGATTTATTATCTCTGCCAGGTGTAAACGTGGAGGGATCATGTGTTTGTGTGCAGCTAATCTCGCATAAATCTGAACCCATCGGCCTAATGTTTTTTGTGCACATTTTTGACTGTCTGCTCAAGGACCTCTTGTCGTTGCGATGATTCACAATTTTTGTACACGTTATGTCAGTTAAGTATGTACAAATGTTAAAATAAGTCAACATTGACTTTTGGTTTCACATGGGACATGAACAGCAATGCATAGCTTTGCTGTCAGAAACTAGGCACAGTAGGCCTGTCAAGCTGTGTGCATGGGGCTATAATAAGAGCAATACTCTGCTTATAAAGAGTTTGGAAGGTGGCTTTTTTACATTCTGCATAACCAAAAAGTATAACGAGTGATTTCTGCTCCAATGTAAACTACAAGCGTTAGCATGGCTTGCTAACTAGCGTACTGAACATAGTACCCTAACGCAGAATTATTACTCAGCAGTGTTGTGACTTTTAGGGGAGCCCTCCGAATGTACCCGATTATGTGCAAAAATACCAATACCTGTCAATTCATACAGAGAATATTTAGCCTTTGACAACAAAGATAGAGAAATGATTCACCGTTGTAGTTTTTTTTTTACTGCAGAGAAACAATAAAAATATCAACGCACAGCGACCAGGCAATGGTTTGCCTTACTTTGTTTAAAACACTGAGGTTGCATAATGCATTACAATTATGAACAAGCATCCCGACGCATAGACAGCCACAGCAGAAATTGCATGAATAAACAAGTTGATAAGTGCTTTATTGCTAGCCTATTATTTACTTCAGAAATCTAGAGATACAGGAAAACATAAATGTATCCAGATAAAAAAACAGGGGCACCACAACCTACGATATTTTACAGCTCCTCTTCTTAAATTAGATTAGATTCTTAAATTCAATACTTTTTGTTTCCAAGGCCAGCAGCATTTTATACTGCATTAGTTTATGTGGTTACAGGTTATGTTAGTTTTGTTTTTGTTTTTTAAATCCTCATTCTCTGTGTAATAATTCAACACTGTGTAACAGCCATTCCCGCATGCTACCATATCAGAGGTTAGGCTAATGTTAGCAGCTCTGCCCAGCTCTATTAGATTTGGAGTTTACACTCCCAAAACCCTAGCCTCATTATCTGAGCTAGTGAAACATACTGTTTAAAAATACAAACAATTAAGCATAAATCTATCCTCATGGGTGTCTATTCAGGTGAGCAGTCAGCAGCTGACCCCGAATAGTCGAAGATTCGATGCTTCGATAGGCGGAGCCTGATTTGACTCTCAATCTCACAGTCGAAGCTTCGCAGCGAAACAAGGATCATGCCATTTTGGCGATATGGGGATGCTCAACGTCTGATTTTACAAAACTACCAGTTTTCTCCCAATAAGTTAATATACAGCCTATTACAATATACACGTTTAATGCTGTAAATAAACTTGTAGAAAGAATAAAACTTTCAATAAATGTTTTGTGTGCGTAAATAATCCAAAAATTGTAACCCATAACCCTGGGTCGTCAGTGCACATGTGTAGGCCTAGCGTGTGTGGTGGCGGAAGAGGAACGCTTGCTGTAGAGACGGAGCCCCAGCTTCGCCCGTGTTGTGCTGTGTTGTGCCGTGTTGTCCGCACCTCGGGGGAATTTCGGTTAATTTATCACCGTTGATGAACCACACATAGAATATTTTCTTCTTTTAGAGTTTGGCATGCACCAAAACTCTGCACAAGACCGGTGAATGGCAGACGAGAGACAGCGAGAGAAAAGTGTCAACAATAAGCCTCAGTTTTTCTGGAAATTTACAGTGTAAGTTGAATGAATAGAGACTGCAGCTCTGCAGCTTCCAAGATTAAAGCGGAGCTACCATGTGTAAGGTAACAACCCCCCCCACCCCGGCTCGCAATCGCTGTGCACAAAAATACACATGATTCGACTATTCGCCGATTTTAGGCAGGACTTGATGATTCTGGTTCGACTATGTAAATCCTTAGTCGGGGACAGCCCTACTGAGCAGCTAAATCATATCATGATATATATTTTATATATATGTGTTTTAGGACTAACTATTCCCATAGGAAAGCTAAATCCAAGATGAGATCTCATAGTTGTTTCCTTCTTTTCTCCTAGACAAAAATGAGCTGCTTTTAATACCAAGGTGAGACCAAAGGCCTTTTCTCCCACTTCTCAAATTCATCTCTGGAGAAACAACCATATAAAATCTCAGTCATATCTGACTCTGATCAAAACAAGAGATCTCTAACTGATCTTAAATAAGTCTAATTTAAGTCTCCTGAACATTGAAGCATGAGATCAGAGAAAGAGCTCAAAGAAAACTCAGCTATGACTCTTGAAATCTCATGATTCTTCTCAAATATGTCTCAGTTTTCTCAAATTGACATCAGGAGCAAAAAACTAATCTCTGTCTTACTCTGATCAAAAGATGAGATCTCTACGGTATCTTAAATAACTGTAATTTCAGTCTCCAGAGTGTGCATCAGAAAAAAAGCTCCAAGATAGTTCTCAGTTTTGTCTTAGTGACCTCACTTAGGGGTTATTTTACTCAATTACTTACTTACGTCAAATGTTGAGGTTGAGTATTTTCTTTCAAATGTCATGCTTTCCAACTGGTTAAGGTAGTCACAGCCAGCATAACTGGAACACCCAATACTTTGACATGACGTTTAGAGATTAATTCGTTAATGACCGAATGCACGGTTCTCAAAGCACAGGCAGTAATGTAATACAATCAAGCTCATGAACATCTCCCCAGAGCTCCCAACTGCTTTTTAGGAGCAATAAGCAAGACATTAATGAACTCAAAAAGATACAATGATGAGATCTCATCTTTTACTTTCATTTATCCTATTGTATTCTCAATTCAGTATCCAGTTGTCTTACCTAAGTCTCAAAACCTCAATCTCTCTTCATCTCATCCTTTTCTCCTAATGGGTTTTAGGAGCAACAATTCAGATTGGAGTGATCTCAAAAAGACATACTATTGGGATCTTAGTGTTTTCTCAAGAGTTATTGCTCTTCTGAGCAAAAGATTTTCCCTCTGGGTTTCTACATTGAAACACAAGAATAAAGGTGTTTCTCGCAATCTCCATGTCTTTTACATGGATCATGAACTGGTGAGGAATGCTTTTTGCTTGGGACATGCAACTTTAGCCTCAGTGTTTTAGCATGATATCATGTATGTCGCCAACAAGTGCATATTAAAGACTTTTAACTGTGTTCTCATTTTAAAATGAGTCATTAAAAAGTCAGCGCTTTCAACAAACTAAAAGACATAACGTTAGATGAATTAACAGTAATTATATCAGCTGGTGCAATCAATGGTCACTGTCTTGAAATAAGAAGCCTTCTTAAAAAATTACCACAAATTTCAGGTGGCAAATATGCCAATGATCTTATTGTAAACTCTGTATGTGTTATTTTTGCTAGCTGGTTAGGTGTGGCAATAGTTACAGGAGAGGAGCTTAACAAATAAAAGGCATGGCACTACCTGTGGTTAGATCTGCAGGAGGGAGGGGTGTTGGAGAGAGAGGGCGAAAGAGACAACAAAGACAAATTAGATTCCAAACATATCAATATAATTCGATTGTAAATTCTTTGACATGCACTTCACAAATAACGGTGTCAGTCATGCCTCTCAAATTGTTTAAAAAATCATTACACAAACACAATACACAAACCAACAAACAACATATATTTAACATGCACAACATCAGTAAAAAATAATAATAACAACATCAGTTTGAAAAAAGACATAACAAACAACCCCAAACCCTAGCTGTAAGGATTTGTAGGTATGTAACGCACCCTCAGCAACTTGAGAGAAAAAAGAGAAAGAGAAAGATTTATAAAATGTAATTTCTGTTAATGGATGAGGATGAAAATGAAGAAATGTTAAACAGAAAAAACATTGATCTAAAAACACTGACTATGAACACACTGTGGATCTAGATTTCACATTTGATAAAAAAACATTTGTAGTTCTGAATTTATATTCCACTCACCATAATAGAAAGGGTCCTTCTCAGAGCCTGCACATTTGGACAACACCAAAAAGAATTAATTGAATTAAATATTTCCTTTCAAATATTTTGTGAACACTGGATTAAAGCTGTTTTAGATTATGTTAACTGATGTACAACAGTGGGGTAGAAATGTTGGAATTAAAGTTTTAGCGGCTTTATTTCAATGTGCAAATACACTTGATTAAAACATTATGACAAAGTAGCGTGATTAATTGACATTGTGACATTTTGAGATTGTTTATATTGTTCAACAAACAGTCCAAAATCCAAAACTACTCACTTTAATATGACATAAAGAACAAAGAAACAGCAATCATCACATTTGATGAGTTGAAAATATGTTGGGTTTTTTGAACAATTACATAAACAACGGATTTTAGCTATAGCTTAATTTTAAAAACAACTATCTTGTCAGCACAGTAATATGTTAATCTGTTAGATATATCGTAATGATGTAATAACAGAAAATTAAACAGTGTGCAGTGTTACTCCTCACCATCCCAGGGTTTGCGCATGAAGTGAGCCTCCACCTCTTTCTGGTCTCTTCCAAATTGGTTTGTAGCCACCAGCGTGTAGCGCCCGTTGTTGAGGTGCGTGGGGTTGTCGAGCTGCAGACAGCCGTGATACTCTCTCTCTGTGATGTCATGGATCATGGTTGTGATGTAAACCCCCTCCATCACCTCTTCACCATCCAGATACCATTGTAGGTTTGGCTCTGGGTTTCCTGGAAAAGGTTATAAACACATCCACAAGAGACTTTGATTTATATTGGTTTCATTTTATTTAATTATCAGTCTATATTCTTTGTCTACCTTGTCATTGCTGTATTTAATATTTACTGTTACACTATTCAAGATTTTGGGAAAGTGCCTCATGCTGGAGCAGCAAAGTATAAAATATATACCTGACACGCTGAAGGGGATGCACCAGTGATGGTCTGGGATTGCATCACTCAGCTTGGTGATTTTGGGAGGAACTGAGAGTCGTAGAGAGAATAGAGAGTTTAATAGCAGGGTGTGATGCAAACAGAAAAGACAGAAATCAAGATAAGGCCAAAGAGCAATTCAGAGGTAAAACTAGTGAAGTATGCAAAAACACTGATTAAAAGGCCAGAGGAACATCAGTCTTCTCTAGCTTTTAATTCTCCGTTTTAAAGTCTATACTACACTGACAAACTCTTTGACACAATAATGTGTACTGAATTAGAGCTGCCTGCCAGAGGGCAAACATACAAAGTATATCCAGCAGCAGCGCAGACTCGTTCTCTCCAACAATGTTCTCGGCTATGCAGCTGATCTTGCTGTTGTGGTCCATCGACGAGAGGTTGGACAGCCGCAGCACCGAACTCTGGGCTGAAGCCTCGATCTGAGTGAGTCAACACAGCGATATATCAGCATGAAGATTCGGATTGCTTATCTCATGATACCACACAACTTTTGATCCTAGGATTATCATCTTTGACCAAAAGTCTGTTGTGATGTTGTGTTAAGATATTCCTTTTACGATCATTTAATGACAAAGAAAGGACCCAAAACCAGCAAATATTTGGCATTTTCACTTGAAAAATGACTTAAATCAATTAATCAACTATTATTTCAGTTTTGAAAACAGAAAAACTTCACATGTAATTTAATATAAAATACTCCAAACATATCTCAGTTTGTGTTTCCGTGTGTGTTTCCGTGTGTGTGTGTGTGTGACCTTACCACATAGGCGGTTACCAACGCCATTTTCCATATCAGCTCAGGAGAGGGCACCCCAGAGCTCGTACAGGACAGCGCCAAGTTTTCCCCCTCCATTAATGTTACTTTAGATGGGTTCAAATTTGCCGTTGGAAGGCCTACATACAAGCAGGGAGTGGGAAGGAGGAGAATCAGGAGGAGGAGGGCATAGAGATGGAGAGAAAAGAGGAGGGGAGAGCAAAAAAGGAAGGAAGCAAACTTAGGATTCATGGCCGACTCTTGTCTTTTCAGTTAAAACACAACGCACGTAACAACCTCGACAGTAAGAGTGGAAGAGCAGGCAAACACACACCCGCTACCACAGAGTGAAAAGAAAGACACAGAAAGAAAGACCTCGAATTTACTCTCTCTCTCTGTGTGTCTTTTGCTTTCATTTAAGCACACTCACCCCAATCAAACAGTCAAAGAGACAGAGTTCAAACACAGTGATGGTTACACTGATTACCAGTGCATGTCCTCAGCAGCCCAAGTATTAAATTGATTGGACACAGTCTGAAGCCTCTGTCAAAGCAAAGACACTGGTGACTCTGTGTTTGTGTGTGCGCTCGTGTGTGTACAGTGCTGACCAAGAGGTGACCAGGAGTATGACCAATCAGACTCAGAGTCTTTTTTCCAAAAGCATCCCTGGTAAAGAAAGAAGAGAAGAGAAGAAAAATAAAAGAAGGAGACGAGAACCAAAAGAAGAGAAGATGAGACAAGAACACAGAGAGAAGAGCATAGAAGAAATGGGTGTCGACAGCTTCTGCAGATAAAACTGGACAGATTTCTTATCGAACCCTCTCCACTCCAATTCTCTCCCCCTCGTCCACCTCTTCTGTCCGTTGGCAGAATGCTTATCACCAGGGCAACCCACTTATCACTACTGCAACCCACTCAATCTCCGTGAGACGCACAAAAAAAACAGTCATTTCAGTAGTGGCAGGCCAGATGCCATATCAGAACCACATATCTTAACAGGCTCTCAGTAAATCAGCTTTCTACTGCCAATACAGACACACACACACACACACACAAAGCTACACTCCGAAGAACCCACAAATCAGAATAAAATTTCTGGAAACCTCCCGGGGTTTTGATGCGAGTGCAGCTGCCGTGACCTGTCAATACACAGAAAATCATTTCCATGTTTATTTACGAGCACCACTTTGGTAGTCAAACCATCCATGACATTCAATGTGATTGTAATCCCTTAGCTGCCCGGAATCAACAAGTACGAATAAGGAGGAATTTACTGTAATTAGCATGTTGGACCACCAGCCTGTGTCTGTGACAACACATGAGTCATTACGTGGAAAGATTTCACTATTAGGGTATGTGCTTTAGTGTTTGCTCCATGCTATAGCCCACCTGCAGCCAGTTGTAAACATATGGTAAACACTGGCAGTCAGGCATCTGCAGAGGGCAAGTCAACAACACAGTAGTTTGCTATTGCCACTAGTTGACTGTAACTAAGCACATTAATCTGTACTTTTTTACAAATTCAAGGCACTTGTACTTTACTTTTATGCAACTTTATACTCTAGTACATTTGTCTTACAGCTTGAGTTACTAGTTACTCTAGTTACTTTTCAGATTACCATTTTTTATAAAGATTTCTTGTCACTTGTCTCCACACAAACAGAAAAGACAGAAATCACAAACACTTGTCTCCAATTTGGGTGATTTTGATTTTGAATGTTTTTGATACACTGAAGGATTAGGTGTTCCTTTATGGGTAGACATTATCATACCATCCTACTTCTTAAACTAAATAACTTGTATAAAAAACTTGGACAAGCTGGAAAATGCCTTGTCTCAAATCTGAAAGCTTTTTTTTCTGAGCTCAATAGAATATGATGCAGTGCTGCAGATTAGGAGTAAAGGAGTTAACATTAGTTCAACCTTAAAAAATCTATAGCAGTAAAATGCAACATGCACATTAATGCAGCAGGAATATTAATCCAGAAACATCAGAAAAACACTGACAGAGAACATTTTGCTGCTCAATGAGTACTTTTGCTTTTAATACTTTAAGTAAATGTTGCTGATAATACTTACATATATTTTCTAATATATTAGTGTTTAAAGGCAGGACATCTATTGTAATGGAATATTAGTACTTTTACTTCAGTAAGATCTGTGCAAATGTCCGTTTGGGCAAATTAATTTTCTTTTTGACAAAACAATCCCAAGGTCCACTTACTACCCTTCAACCATAATCACACAGTCGTCACCACCATAAAGAATTTGCTCAGTTGGATTTGTTGACGTGCATGCTCAGTAGCTGTTTTGATTTCATCCGTAGCACCTGAAGAAATCTGAAAAAATGCTTGAAACTGTCAGTAGACCTTGAGTTGGAATTGTTTCGCCAAACTATTTCCAAAGAGCGAATTGAATTTTGAGCCAACATGGCAATAAATTCTAATAGTGCTGTAGATGAAATCACACGGATTACAATATTACACTAGATTTGTACTGACAGGCCAACCCAGTCTTTTTTTTCAAATTCCATGTGGAAAAATCTTCATACATTCACTCAGACAAAGTAAATGCTATCTGTGTCCTTGTTTTACATAAATCTTACATTGCCAGAATAAATAATTGGAATAATGCACTTGTGTGCAAATGTGAGACGGTTGTTTTTTGTTTTAGATTAAACGGCACGTAAACTATGTCCTGAAACCGGATCCACTCTAATCTACACATGTAGAGGTGCTTATTTTGAATTCCAAAGAAAATATAAAAATACTGTTAATCTGACAAACAGCTTTTTAGCATTTTCACTCTTTTTTTCTCTTATGTTGTATTACCAGCTGTCACTTCTGAGATATCAGTGTCACAAAAGGACCTTTTCTGTAAACAATGATTTTTACAGGTAAAGGAAATTCTAACATGACATCCTCACCCTGTCAAACCCAGAAGAATGAATGTGTTAAGAATACTTTACATCAGCACTGACTATATGCCAGTTCTTGACATCCTTGAACCCAGATTGCCTTCATTCACCAGGAGCATGTACTATGAATGGGCTGTGAATTACGAGCACAGCATCAGGGATTTGCCCCGGTGATGTGAAGCTGAATAGCTGCTCACAGCTCATATTTAAAAGGAAAACATCCACTGCTCCCTGGATTGAATCCTCTGCACAATACACCACAGCATACTTCATTGTTGGAGGTGTCATTGTTGTCAGCTCTTGTTATGGGCCACAATAGGCACGTCCACATTGGTGTTTAGAGAAGTGTTCGCATTTATCATGTGAGGTTCCAGCCTTTCCGCCACAGAGATGTGATTTCTGAGGAGAGGCAGAAGCCAGCGAGAGAGAGATTTCTGATAAAAGATACAAAAGGGAGAGAAGGAAATGTGCTGGATAGCAACCATCCCTGAGTTTGCCTCTATATGTTTCTGTCATTCAAGCACAGAGAAGACTGTTAATGCATTATAACATTCACAAAATGATTTCTGCTCAGAGAATGCAGACAAATAGTGGGGAGAATGGGAGGCAGGGACTGGCTGAGCAGCTTCAAAACCCAGGATCTGTTAGATTAGATAAATAGATTATTTATTTTCTGCCTAAAACTGTTGTTAGTCAAGTTGTCAGCTGGCCTGCTCTGACATCAGATCATTTGTGCTGCATTTTCAAGCTGCATTTATCTTAACTAACTGACTACTTATCCTTAACACATTTATCCTGTTTCCACTTGGTTTGAAGTGAATTTCTTGTATTTAGCTAGTTATTTAGCTATTTTGGTGTCTGACCAGCTCAACCCTATCGCCAGACAAGAACATAGATATTGGACGATTCTGCAAAACTCATATTACGTTTAGATATAACCTTTTTTTATGTCTCATTGTGGCTAGGGTTAGAGAAATACTGTATTTATTTTTTATTAGGTTAAGATATAGTTAACAATAGGCAACTAAAAAACTTATTTAAAGTAAGGGAAACATCATTAATGGTTATAAATTAAAACCCTCTTGAATCCACAAGTGACAGCAGCATGGCCTAAAAAGGAATGCAGGTGGGATAGCACTAAACATAATGTCCATTACCTTTTAAAAGACTTAACAACCTCATAAAACATCAGGGCTTCAGGACACGAACACCATCCAAATCTGTTTCTGTCAGTCTGCACTGTGACTTTCTTTGCACTTTCTAACTTCTGTGTTGATTTTAAGTTTAGATTACTGCTTTTGTGTCTTGTTGTTTAATTCCTTGTTATCTAACAAGCAAGTGAGTTGTCTTCCTGCCTACGACTGTAGGAATTTCACATCTACTGCCCACAGACACAGGAGCAATCTGGTCCTTTTGGTCTGTACTGCCATTTACTGCTTGAGTCTGTGCTTGCGTGCTGCGTCTGTGTTTCACATGCACAAGTGTAAGAGTGCACTAGACAAAGGGAAGGAACAGAGAGATATAGAAATGCCTGTCACAGGCAGAGACAGCATCTAAGCTTATAGTTACACAGTAAAGCATCTTCACACACAAGCCTGGGAGATGGAAGTTAGACAGAAAGAAGAAAGACAGAAAAGGGGACAACAAACAGAAATAAAACCTCATAGACATTCCAGCCAAACAAATGGACAGACGTAGCGAGAGACAGATGTGACCTTCAGAGGTCTGGTGATCTACCTGCTGCAATTTCCACAGCACATGGGGGAGAAAGCGTCATTTCTCAGGACAGCTGTTTTCAGTTATTAACATGTAAACATTTGGATCATTAAGCAGACAGCAGATTTCACAGAAACTTAAGGTGTAATGTGCATAATGGTAGAAAAAGCTTACAATTCCTGATTTTCCCATTAACAAGCATTAAAGTAATTTTGCAATTTAAGGAAGAGTTGTAAAGGGGAATTTAACAAGAGTAGAGAGTTTATAGGTTTTATAAGGTTTCATTCATCATCCTATTAACAAACAACTGAGTGGGACTCTTTTAATACGTGCAGCTGTTTCAACCCCAACAGTTTTGCTGAGAGACACAGTTGACTTATTTTCACTTTGCACATGCATGCCACCACAGTCATTTTTGTTAAGTTTTGTATAGGTCAGCAGAGGGAACAGTTTGCCAGCCTTTTCGAGTGGAGCTTCAGCTGTAAACAGTCCACAGAGAGGAACAGAGAGCAGACATATGCGGGTGGCCAGAGAGATCAGTGTCAGCCCGAGGGCATCGTTGGGCACTTCCTCTGCTTTGTGCCTTCCTCATATGTCACTCAGAAATGTTCAGACAGACAGAAGGACGGGCCAGTCACGCATGCAAGTAGACAGACAGAGAGATGGAAAATGAGTAACAAAGAGGAGGAAAGACAGGCTGAGAGAGAGGGAGAGGCACAAGATAGCGAGAAATAACGGCAGAGAGAGCAAAAGGCCAGCAGTTCACCAGAGCAAGGGGTCTTTTGGCGTATCACTGTTAGCCCTGGGGCAGTATTCAGAACCCATGCTCCACCATGTCCTCCTCCTCATATGTCACTCTGCAAGGGGGTCCCCTGCCCACCTCTCCAGGGACCCTGCTGTAACTGTGCTAATGCCAAAAATAACCTCTGCTAATGGAGGGGAGACAAAGGGGACGGATCAATAGGAGTTATCAATGACATTGTTAACTTATTGTTTGCGTCCTGTGTGTCCCAACTGCCCTGAGCTATTTTTGATCCGATCATTTGCTCTGTCAACATGAGAGAAGACAAAATACTTTGAGATTCATGTTCTGTTTTTTTAGGGGAAAATAGAGGCCTAAAGAAGCTTTTCTGACTGCTATTACTGTGCATTGTATAAATTCAAATCAGATATGAAGATTTCTTTATGTTCTCACTTTACAGTTACAAACTGGATCTGACTAGACTTATTGCCCCAAAGGCTGCAGCAATCTGCGTTTCATTTCTTTACTTCGGTCAAGCTCAAGCTTTAAATTATTACTGAATGTTGGCCAGATATATGCTCACAAAAACCTACAAATCCAGACTGAGTTTGGGCAGATTTTTCTTCTGAGAATTGGAACAGGTCAAGCTCAGACTTTCAGATGGAGGTCAAGCTGTAATCTGACCCTGTTTCTAAAAAGAAGAGAGTCCAAAATAGAGATTCATGAAAAACTAAGAAGAAGAGGGAAAGAATAAAGCTTCTATTAACTGCTGACATTTATACATTTAAGCTTGGAAAACACTCCCATAAGCAACTGCATAAAAGGTTTGTTGTCTGTGGCAGACAGATCTATCTAAGAGTGACATCAGGCTTGCTGGCTAGCTTGACATTACACTTGTTTTGTGAATATGCATTGTTGCAAGTATAGAATTTCAGGTTTCAAAGTATTATATGGTTTGTAGATACATACTTCCTAATGGGAATACTGTTTAACATTTTCTCACTCAATTTTGACAATTACCTTTCTAGAAAATGTCTTTTATTGCTAATAAAAGTGTTAGGATTGCTGTTTGCAGTTGTTAATTTTAGTGCAGCTTTCCATGAATCCGGAAAGAATTTCTTCCTAGATGACTGAAACATGATGATTCAGAGAAAAAGGAAATGAAATCTGCTGTGGTTACAGCAGGTCACCAGTGCTATAGGACATAGTGCAGATGGTCTTCATAACACTTCATTTTACTTTGATACATGCAGTGAATTTTCTCTACTCAGCATCTTTGAAACTCACCGATGTTATCTGTGTGATGAGTCACACAAATGTTCCCTCTCAGTATAATATCTTTCTGCTTCTATAAAGTTCTGTACAGTGACCTTTCTACACCTACATGTAAATGTCTCAGATGACTGTACATGTCACAAACAAACACCTCACACTCATGTTGCTCCCCTTCATTTGGCAACTAATGTTTGCATCATATGAGAAAAATGATTACTGCAGTGGCTGTGGTTAGTGCATGAATTTTATTCACTCTTTTTAGCAACAAACTTCACTTTCTCGAGTTCCTCCCTCACAAACCACTGGAATGACACATTTTAACACGCATACAGTATAGTATGTCCTGCACTTAAACAAATACACATTTATGCAAACACACACACACAACCATGCACTTACATAAAAACAGAAGTGTCAGACACATGCAGAACACATGAGTACACACACAATCACCTCTTTGCAGAAGAAACCATTATGGTTACTGTTTTCCTCCAGGTGCTTCAACACTAAGCACTCTGCTCCGAGTGCTTAGTGTTAGTTTTCCACCTCCTTACTGTGTGTGTGTGTGTGTGTGTGTGTATCCTCACCACAGTTAGGTAGTTCCAGCTTGGACAGCTGCTTGCGTCCTCCTCCATCCTCAATGCAGTGCAGCTCCTGAGTGTCTGCTTCCTTTTCTAACCACAGCTTGATCCACATGTTCTCACAGGAGCAGTGCAGAGGGTTCCCTGACAGGATCCTACACACACACACACACACACACAGTCAAGAACCGTCAAGAAAAGTGAGTAGTAGAGCGTGAGAGAGTAGCTGAAAAAAAGCAGTAGCTAAAGTGTCTTCAACTACCACAGTGCCTTAAAGAAATGGTTCAACATTCAACACAAATATGCTTGTTTGCTTTCTTGCTGAGAGTTGGACAGATTTACATGTTGTATACATGTATACAAAATGTATATATATATTTTTTTTCTTTAGTTTAATCCATTTAAGCCAGGAGCAGTTCCTGGAATTTATCATCACTGGGAGGATGTCAGGCAACCAACAGTGCAATCTATTGAACAGTATTAAACTGCATTGAACCATTGGAAAAAATCTCAATATTCTCTCTCTAGAAATATAAAGTGTGTATGTTTTTCTACATAATTTTCGTGAATCAACATCTCTCGGTACAATTTTAAAATTATTTATTTGGTTTATTACAGTAATGGGAGACTGAGTAAAATCTATGTTTGGGGGGCATGTTTGCCTTTATTGTTAGGTGTCATAGCCAATGACACTGAGCCCTGGTGGTTTATTGTTGCTTGTCGACCCCACTTCAGCTAGTCTCCGCCCTGTTGCCTTAATCAAAATACAAAAAAATAAGAATTTTCTGGCTTCAGGAAATCCCCAATTTGCCGTAAACCAAGCTTTTAAATATCACACCAGAAATATATATGTAACACCATAGATTCAGTGGGTATATGTTTATCTACAGCCTGTGATGATAACTGGGAGATAAACCAGAGAGAGAGCCAGGAACAGACAGACGGAGATGCAGATGGACAGACTGATAGAAAAGGCTGGACTGAACTCACAGATAAGAGATGTTGAGGTGTCTGAATATCCTCCAGGATAGTGACGACAGGTTGTTATCTTTCAGATTCCTGGAAATTAAGGTGAACATCAGAGAATGAGATTGTTAATATTAACTTGACCTTATAGCAACTGAAAGGCCACATTATTTTTATCATTAAAAGTTTCTCCTCTAAGGATTGTGACAATTAACCCTAAGCGGTACATTTCATCAGCATAATAAGTATCAAACTTTAATTATGTTGACAAGATCCCAAGATCAATTACAAATCCGGTTCAGTCTGAAACTGAACTGCACCCCATCAATCTCTCAGAGGCTTTGTTTTTCATATTTTTGGTTAATTTTCTATTGACAATGTAACAAATAAATCTTCTTTACATTATGATATCAATTGTGTGTTCATCAATTTCAGCAATAAATAATACAACAAATTTATAAAACTAAAACATAGCTATACATTTTAACTGTTTTTCCCTCAGCTGAGTCAAACTAATCAACACATCTTTACAGTTGCTGTCATGTCAACAGAAAGCAAGGAATAGATAGCATGAGTTTTCACTTACAGGTACTGTAACTTGATGTTGTTTTCAAAGGCCAGCTTTGATACATATGTAAGCCTGCTGTTGGTCACCGTCCTGACACAAAAACAAGCACCATTGTCATTGTCATCATGAACATAACAACACAATTACCAACAACAACTGCAACATTAGCAACAGCAAAAAATGGATTCACGTTCTTGATGAGCTCCTTAAAGTCTGAGAAAATATATTTGGTACCAGTTTCTAATAATTCATGCTAAAGGAGGAAACTTACCAGCATAATGCTTTTTTATTAACCTACAAAGCATTAATATATTTTTATTAACATTTAATGCATATGTGACAACTTATAAATGCTTTATAAAACACATATTTTTAGAAAGTGGTGCACCACATAGGTTAAGTTACACAAGCCAAAACTATAAGGATGGACATTTAAGATTTGTAAGGCACATATATTATTGTCATTTCTTATGTAGCATCTGAATATCAACATTGGGAGATATTTTATTTATTAGCAACTTTAGTGCAGGTCTATGTTGTGTGTGTACAATAAGAGAAAGAAACTGACAGAGACATAGCAAAGTTATTTGTTATTTTTTTTCTCATGAACACATAAAACACCAAAAAATACCATTACATTACAGTCAGAAATGAACACCACTGAGTATTTTCTCTTCAGAGTGACCAGTAAAACTCCCTGTTTATAGCTAATGGTAATGACTGTGCACACAGACACCTCTGACTTTTCACTAAATTCTGATGAACGTAACGCTCTGCACTGTAGTTGATTTGTCATCAGACAATCTGATAAATTAATTAGTACAAACATGAGCAAACCTTCTTTCCTTACAGGAATAATTTGCACTGAGCTTCATAGATATCACACTGTAATCTGTTAACACAAAGAAATTAAGTTAATATAAAATAAAGATAAAATTAATCATACAAAATAAAGAATTTCTCCTCATTAATCCAGGTAAAATGACCCACTACTAGTGAGAAATATCTTTAGTGAGCCGCTGTTCAGACAAGTCTGCCACGGTGCACGGCCAGAGCCTGTTATCTTTTTATATGTAAACATAACAGAAGAACCTCTTTTCATTGATTCAACAGATTGAGGTGCCTTTAATATTCCAACATACTGCACACACCAGGTGCAGAGAGCATGTGCCCTTCATCAGCTGAGGGGAGGCTGTAAGACAACATCATTATCTGATATGAAAAGTTGGTTTAAAGGTGCGATTCTGGAGAAAGCTCTAGGTCCGCTAGCAATCTGTTCTGTCGGTGTGCTGAAAAAAAATCTGGTGTTTGTACACAGCCGTGGCTCTGTAAATGGGAAACAATCAAAGTGGCTCGGACCATGCCAAAGCGGACAGGGTGAGAAGAACCAAGACTGAAAAAGAAGTTATATGACCAGGTGAGGGCGAAGAGCAGCGGAGAGACTTCCAAGAATTGAAAGGCATGAAGAGAAATGCAGAGGTTGTCCTGTTTCTACTTGAAAGGTGGAGCTTCTGAAAGAGCACTGAAGGGAGGGGTGTTTTTGTTTGGCTGTCGAGTACAAATATCAACAAAATTTCTCCAGATTCACATACCCTACTTTTAACAGATGTTCTGTGACTGGTTGATCTCATCTGACATGATTTTGATTTCACCATTTAAAAGACATGACACTTAACGATTACTGTAATGTAAAAATATTAAAACTTTGAAATAGTATCATCCTATTGGTATCAAGACCTAATTTACCTAATGTAATTGTGTGTAAAGTAATGCTCACACACATGGGACGGCTGTTCTTGATTGTGGCTTAAACACTCATCCTGCCTGCCTTAGAGTTTCGTTCCCACTGGGTCCAAGCACAATTAAAAGCATAAAACACTTCCAGTGCATTACTCGCTTTGTACTAATATGTCTACCAAGTTGGATATTGGCTGGAAAATTAGTTAGTGTCTACTTAACAGTTTTTATGTTGCAAAAAAGTGCTGCTTGGTAGACAATTCTGTTTTAGATCAAGAAATAAAATGAGACACGTATCATAGCAAACCACAGTAACTACACCCTGAGACTGCCATAAACACAGCATGATTTTAAAGCAACAGATGTGGACAATACATCTCCTTAAGCAAAGAAAGAGAATTATCAATAAAGGCAAATAAATCCATACTTGTCATATAGTCGACTATAATAAGCCAAATAAGTGTAGAAATACTGTTGAAACCGCTTTAAAAGGCTGCCTATATTTGGGCCCTAAGATTGAACATTGTGTACATTACTGGAACATTTTGCGCAACAGATGATGTGGTTAACAGAATATAAGAATATATGAAATAAAACACTCTGTGTAATCATTTTTGTAGCAACTTTGTCTATTGACAGTAGCTCTGAATATGTGCCATATTGTTGGGCCAAAGTGCTGGTTGTACGAGCCATATATAGACTTACAGGTTCCTGAGATTCTTGTAGTGTTGCAGGTCTTTGTCGTTGATGGAGGAGAAGCTGCTCTGGTTGGCGATGTAACTGTCAGGAGATACAAGTGCGTGTCAGAAGGCTCATTTGTTAACAGAGGGAAGCATAAACACAAACATTTCAACAAGACAAAGGAACATAATAAGCCTATATAATTAAAAAATGAACTCCTGAAGGACTACAGCTGATAAATGGCACGCAGGGCGGAGCTGGTATTTGCTGGCACTTGATTCGTTTACAGGAGATGATTGTGGGCATCTCTCTTGAGTGAATGAGTATAACTGTGTGAACAGGTTCTGAAAAACATATGTATTTCAAATACCACAGCTTTCGGATCAGACGTCAGAGGGAAGTGAGTTCAATCTATAGAGGGAACATGCTGTAACAGTCACAGCAGAGCTTTTTGTCCTACAGAAACCTTCAGTCTCACTGTTGCACGTATTGTGTGGCTAAATCACAAGCTCATTAAATAATGCTTTTCATGAAGGAAAAAACATGTGTAATTAGATTTACTGATTTCCAAGATCATTACATGGCTGTAGTAGTGAAGGGTCTTGAGTCTGGGATTGTTTTTTGTTGCTAATTATCTCAAATACAACATGATACATTATATTTTACATCTCTCGCCTCTGAATCTATGCCAAAATAAAAAGTCAAACGATTGATCAGTGAGCATTGAAAAGATGACACTTAACCATTAAACATATTTTATAGGGGCGTCCTGGTGGCCTAAAGGAGTCTAAGATGCTGTACCACACCATACACCATGTAGCCGTAACGTCCCAAGTTTGCCCTCATTTTCTGTCAGCTCTCTGCCATCACTATCGAAAAAAGTCAAAATACCTGGGAAAAAATACTGTAGAAAAATAGGAATAAAATCTGATATGTGCCTTTCAATAATTAAAGATGCTGAACCAGAATGTCACATTTTCAGTGGTATTGATTGATAATAGATGGAAGCCACTCTGTGAAAAGCAGCATGTTCAACACTGTTTCAAAAAATTTACTTTCACTCAAGAGTAAAATAACCTGACAACAATGACACATGACTAAAATTCAGTTCTGCCAAAATGTTTTTCAGGGCACCAGTCTTATTCGTAATCTACAATAAATCACCAATAACACGTCAACGTCAGATGATAAGTATCTGTAAATCAGCTATAAAGTCAAAAGCAGACAGTTCAGGTAAGAGTGCTGAATAATAACAGCATAGTCAAATACTACGAGTATGCACATATATTCATCCGGGTTTGTTTTAATCATATTTGATTAACCCTTCACTGCATGTTTGTCTAGTGTGCAGGGAAGAGTTAAGCTTGGAGTTACTACACCCACATGTGTCCATTAGCCTAAATCTGCTATTATTGCCTACAGGCAATATATCAGTATTGTTATACAGAGGTAGAGATTTTTTAATAGGTTAAATGTTGTCTTTTCCATCTTTATTCCATGAATAATTACCTATAAAATAACATCTATATTCTTTAAACAACAAAAATTGACAACTTTATTGTCAATATTAAGGTTATTAGTTAAAAAGATTTTGCCTTTTTAGCTCTTTTCTGTATCATCCAGTCATTTGGTACACCCACCTCCTCAACTCTAATGGATGATATTTTCTTATCAGATGGGAACTAAATCTGATTAGTTTGACTCAGCTTTCATACTAAACATTTCACATATGGCAGAAAAAGTAAGCATCAGTATAGGACCTGCATTTCAGTTTTTACACCCATGTAGGAATTCACACTGACATTGAAAGCCCATTATATTATGTCAAAGTGTGTATTCTCAGTGCAGATGTCACAAATTCAGGATTTTTTTAACCTCTTAACAAAGACAGGGGACAGGATAACCCATCTCTTTTGTTTTTGGCAAGGTCGTTCGTAAATTAGTCGCTGCATGGTCATCAGTAATTTGTCTGTTTACATTAGCGAAGCACTCAGTGAATGCTTTTCACCAGATTGCTGAGTCCAAGGCTTCTCCAAGTTCATCTCTGACAAGTCGTTATCAACAAGGCCGTTTATCTCTGCCAAGAAAAGATATTGCAGCAATGAAACATTTTAATCTCCTCTTTTAATTGCTCTCGATTAGACATGTCTCAATTTATTTCTAGGTCGAATGACCGTCTATGAAATGACTGTGTGAATGGGGTGCAGTAGGTTACATTTTAAATTCAGGCTGAGATTTTGTGTCATCTTGAATTGGGGAAAAAATCTCCCAGCTTCCTGAAAAGGAGGGTCCGGTCATCAAATACAAGCAAAAATGTTGACTCTGACTGGAAAAATGTCGCTCTTTTTCCCTTTTAAAGTCGATTTTTCTCCGCTTTTGTGGTTCATTTCAATACACTCATATAAGCCATCTTGGGAAGTGTCTGTGCTAATATTTGGACAGTCGTGTCTGGTGTGTGCGTGTCCCCGTCCACACACACACACACACACACACACACACACACAAGCATAAGGGCATCCACGTACACACGTGCACGCGCCGGCACAGACTGGGGTTTGTCTGATTGTCAGAATAAAGTCCATCAGCCTCAACTGCTTTCATTTTTAAATGGACTTTTTCCACGCTGGTGTTAAAGGACTGATGTGCCCCATGATGGAAATTAGTCTGTTACGCAATTTAACGTTAGGTTACACATGATGCGTGTCTGAGCAGAACCAGCGCCAAAGAAAAATTAACAGGACTTACATGTCTAGCCTATCCGAAATGGCAAATATGTGAATTAGCCGTACATTCAGGCATGACATTAAGATTCGTAGCGAAAAATAGACCTTCACCGGTTCTGTCTCTTTTCTTGCGGACCGTCAGCCCCTAACACAACTGGCAGTGGAGGGGTGACATTCCTTTATTTGGAAAGTGTTGGAAAATACAGCAACCTTGATAAAAGCGTGATAAATAGCCTATGAAGATTTAAAGAGAACTTATCCGACATCATCCTTCTGTAAAGCTGATGCTTAAGAGAGACACTCACATGTCCGTGATGTTCTCCATCTCCGCCTCGCTCTGCAGGAGCGGGAAAGCATTTATACCCTTCTCCGGTTCCACGCAGGAGATCCTGGTGCTGCTGCAGGAGCAAGGCGGCGGGCATGCCTCCGCGGACATCCACGGATCTCCCGAGCCCACTGATACCCCGACTGCCACAACCCACCACCACCACCAGCACCGCCACGACCCAGACCCTCTCCCCGGCGAGGAGAGAGCCCCGCTCCAGGGTCTCAAGGCGCTCATGTCGGGTGCCAACTTCAGCTATAAGGCTCGCTGAATAGCCCCACGGCCCGGCCCAGGTTGGCTGGGATCAGCCCCGCTTCAGCCAATCAATGAGAGGAGAAATAAAGTAAAATCCGATGCTGAGGTGAATACAAGCGGGATAGAAAATCATCAGCCGTGAGTGACAACAGACAAGACAGCAAAGGGGGGGAGGGGGGGGAGAGAAAACAGGAGAATGTGTGCCGATCCTTTCCTGTGTGTTTCTTCCAGAATCTCCCGTCAGTCAGCCAGTCACTCACTCAAAATCACACTGCCACACTGACGGGTGTCTGCCAAGGAGGATCTCTCTCTCTCTTCCTCCCTCTCTCTCCCTCTCTCTCTCTCTCAGCTGACAAGCACCGACCGGAACCTCCTCGACACAATGTTCTCTGTGTGTGGATGATTCTCGACAGAGTGGTGGTGGTGGTGGTTGGCTGGTGGGTGGATAGAGAATAAATGTCCGGATGGGGGAGCCGGTGCGCACCGCTGTTGCCCCGCGACTCGCAGGGGTGAAGGCTGTGATGAGGGAGAGCAGAAGAGGAAGAGGACGGGTACCAGCATTAAAGCAGATCATGTATAACGTGATATCTTATTGATCCCCCTTGGGGAAATGCTCCTTTCTCTGCTTGCAGCAAGGTCGGGGTTTGGGGGGATCAGGTGCAGAACAGAAGGGGTTACTTGCTCACGCGCACCTCAGCAAAGCGTAAAATGCTTTCGACACGGCTGCGTGAATTCGTGTTTTGTGGTTATTCTCATCTGTTTGAATTTTTTGGGTCGTCAGGGGTTACAGTGCCTCCCGGAGTGTATGGTCTCTGACAGTCTTGATAGGCTTGAGTTGAGAAGGAGGTGTGAACGTCCTTGTGTGACTGAAAGAGATAAAGACAGAGGAGAGGTGGAAAAGGCTTCTGCGTTGAAGAGGTTATTTAATTTATCTGCTAGCTGGCTTCAAATTATGCGTAAATTAGATATAAGGGGCTATCAATTTACAGACTCTAATTGCCATAATCATTTTCATCACAACCTGATCACCCTATCCTCATTATAATCATCATTATCATCTGGTTGTTATGCTGGGCGTTTTTTAAGTAGACCTATATAAAGTTAATCAATGAAAAACAAGGCTGTAGCTGAAGGAGGCCCTATTTTTGAATTTGGGAGGCCACTTAAATTCCACATTTCTAGCCCTTTTCAATAAAGCTAACAAAGTGGCTTTACAATCAATGTAAAACATAAACAAGTTGAATAAAAATTGGCATCACAGGGGAACAAACTCTGCAAGCCTAATCTCCTCTGATAGATTGCTGATTGTTGAGTGTAGGGGCCCTGACAGCAAAGGCCCTGTCCACCTTGGAATTTAGCCTAGACCTTGCCCTATGAGGGGGTCTCAGTCTGTTGTACTAGCTTAAGGGGATAAAAGCTCAGAGATGTAAGGATATACACTGGCTAACACTGGGGTGATATGGTCACAATTTTTGCAATGAGTTAAAAGTCGAGCTGCAGCATTTTGGACTAATTGTTGAATTGATTTCTGACTGAGATAGTGAGTGAGGAAATAAGAGCATGGATGAGTTTCTCCAAATCTATGGCTGAAATACAATAGACTACTTAAATTTTCTCAAAAGATACCCAAAAATTTCCGAGGTCTTAGTGATTGGGATATAGAGCTGTGTGTCACATTGTATTTGTGGATGGTATTACCGTGTAACACATTCTCACTCCCAACTTGTTGCACATGGAAGCTTGGTCAAGACCCCTTGGCATTGTTTTTAATGCCCTGGGTTACTTTCCATGGTCGTCCGATCACGTTAGCAATAACAAATATTAAACATCAATAGAAGTAGGCCTACTTGTTAACGTTGAAAAACATCACAATTTTGAAACGGCATGTTGTAAATGCTGTGAAGTGTCGCAGTTTTGTTAAGTTTAGACACCAACAGTTCTTGGTCATTTTTAGGAAACAGCACTTGGTTAGATTTAGGAAAAGATCATGGTTTGGGTTAAAATAACTGCTTTATTTATGTCAGTTAACTTACGTAACTTAAAGAGGTGGTATTATGGTTTTTGGCTTTTCCCCTCTCCTTTATTGAGTTATATATCTTTTTTGTGCATGTAACAGGTTTGCAAAGTGAAAAAATACAAAGTCCAGCCCAAAGGGAGTTCCCATCTCCCACAGAAAACTCTGCTCTGAACTGCTTGAAAACAGCTTGTTTGTAGTCCAGCCCTTCACTTCCTTTACTTATGACATCACAATGAAAGCGTCATAAAGCTTGCCAAGCGGCTAGCGGGGTCAGGCACACCCTCAAACCAAGCTAGTCTGAGCGGAGGCCCTTTGGCTCCACTCGCCTATGTTTGGTTTTCCATTGTAGAAATGTTGTACCTGTACCTGCTTCCAGGTAAATTTTTTCGTATCACCTCACCTCCATCGATGTTCCAAGCGAGCTGAGGGATACTAAAATGAAACTTGAAAACAGGACAGACTGCTGATTGGTCAGAGAGAATATTCACTATTCAATGCATCATCATTGCCTGCACCAGACAGAGGCCAGTAACAGAAAGTTTAATATTTTACAGTTTTCGTATGGAATTTCATCACTAAATCCACTTCTGAGAAGTTTTAAGGTGAGAAATCAGCTGTGTAGATTTCGGATATTGACAGTTTTACAAGAAGTGATGGCAGAACGGAGTTGAGGAGTTCCGCAAGTGGCTGCGGGGGAAGCCTGTGCCAACCCGCGGGAGGAGCGTGTGAGGCCGGCCAGCCGCCCGCTCACAGAGCCCTCTGCTCCCACCGTCACACAGACCGCTGCAGCAACAACGGCAGAGAAAAACACAGCTGGAAGGTTTTCATACCGCTTATCTGTCTTTACATTCTGAGGAATGTTGAAAGGTTTTAACTTAAAAAAGAGAAGCTGTGTGGATCGCTGGTGTGTGTGTCGCATTGAATATTACGTTGTGGCAGTTGTGTGTGGCGTCGCTATGACGACAAGCTACGTACTATCTCTGGGTACTATCTGCAATGGAAAACGGTGCAGGGCCGAGTAGAGTCCAGTCTATCGATTTGCGCTATGGTAGCATTTTTCGGCAAGGCAGCATAGATCATCAGAACACCAGCAACAGTTCAACGTTTAGTCCTAAAAGACATAGCAACTCCGACTCCGTTTGGGCCTGGAGATTCACAATCACAACCTGTAAGTATCCTTTATTGGTTGTGAATTATATTTAAAATAAACATGGCAATGTAACTTCACAGACTGTTCAAGGACAGCTAACAACAACAACAACACAGCTAAAGTTATAACTATAATGCTAATGTTACACCTGATGTGAAAGCTACTGAGCAAATGTTCAAATTGTTCGGCCAATTTTTATGTAAAATTGAGTTGAAATATGGTGATTTTTGTTGTGGTTTATGGTAAGATGTGGAACAATGATGTTGTGTGGTTGTGGACTTCTGCTAGGTTACGGTCGCAGTCTGAAGCGGCTTTGATTTGGCTCACACCACCTTGTTTCTTACGACCCGCCCTTCTCTGCTTCTGATTGGCTAGTATAGTCCTTACCCGGGAACTGCGCATGTGCAACTCCCAGCAAATATTTTGTACAAGTAAGATGCATCACTCTGTCGCTCAAGAGCGGAGCGTACAACACATAGGGTGAAAAGAGGAGCTGCATCAATATGCAGTATGAGAAAAATATGGTATTTTTTGAAAATTCAACCATGTAAACCTGTTCTGGTACAACCCCTAAATAAGATTTTGAACCTGAAAATGAAAGCAACGTAAAGTTACTAAATAAAGTAAGTAAATAAAGTAACGTTACTTCTGTAAATTATGCAACTTACATAACCAACGTAACTTACAGAAAAACATTCAATGTTGACTTTTTTTTCACACAAGAAATGAACGTCGGTCCCCTGGCTGAAAGTCTGGTTTCTGGCCCAGTCCACCCCAACCACCTCATTACTCTGGCTTTTTGATTAAATATCCGTTCAAAAGTGATGTTGCAGAGCATTCCCCAGTGGGTTGAACAATGACAGTAAGGGGATCCCCAGTGCATTACAAACTGATGCCTATGGCGTCCATATGTGACAACTTGGGAGTGAGAGGGAGAAGGGATTGTACCGAGAGGGAGCATATAGGAGAATAAAATGGGACCTAGAATTGAACCCTGAGGGACACTGTAGTGGGGTTCTCTTCCAACCTCCTCAAAATAGGGAAAAACACAGGCGTAGTCGAAAAATAATGACGTGATTTTTATTATGCCGGCCTCCAAAGTACAAACAGTGAAAAAACTTGCATAAAGAAAACAAATCAAAAAAATTTACTCAATAATAAAGTTACACTAAAAAAACTTAAATAATTCTGTTTCTCTCTCCCCACAAAAATACAAATCACTACTTACCTCCTCTGTAACCAGGCCAAGACTGACCTCACAGGCCCAAAGCTGCCACTTTTAAAGACAGTAGCCCCTCCCACTAGGCTTAACCATTATCATTACACAATATAATAAACAGATTTTACTAACTCCAGAAAAGGATTTATATCTATTACACTTCGACATATTTTCAACAATAATTATATCCATCTCCACAAACATTTTCCTTCTCCTGAAAAAGTTATTTACATCACAAATTATTATTACAACCAAAAACCATAATTTTGCAGTTCACATGACCATGAAAGCGTGCGAGAACTTGCTGTTTTGCCAAACTGGATGGGAAACAGAGCAAACCTGTGATGCATCTCAACCCATAGTAAGTGTTGTTGTTTAAATGTATGCTTAACGTTAAAGAAGAGTAGAACTACCTAGTGTGCACCCTTGATCACGCTACTTAAACAGTAGAAGAAAAACGCATAATAGCGAGGTTTTATGACTGGCTTAATTGAGGCTGGAAGGGAGCGGGGAGTGAGTATGTGCGTGTGTCTGCGCGTGCGTATGTTAGAGCATATTTGTGGGGGATAAAATGGAGCCAGCCATAGTCACTGAGAAGCATCTGATAGATAGGTAGGACCTGTAGTAGTTGTAGTCTCAAAGGGACCACATCTAAGGGGCAAAGCAGTGACTTCATATGTTTAACCATCTCATTGAGGGCGGAAAGAGACATTGATTTAAAGGAATTGAAGGATACAACATCACATGGTCTGTGGGTAAAATGCTCTGGCCAGCTGCTAACAGTCTGTGATCTGATTTTTTCAATTTCCTTTTGGGTTTCAGGCGTTCTGAGCAATCAAGGTGGAAAAGTAAGTTGCCCGTGCATCATTAACTGCCGCATGGTAGTACTTCATTAAGGTCTTCATGTACTCATAGTAAACATGAAGTTTGCTGGCCTTCCGCTTGCGCTCTGCTTTGCATAACTCTCTCTTTAGGGAACGAGAGTGGGCCGTTGATGCAAATGCAAATAAAGAACTGCCTGCTATTTCCCATTAAACAACATGTTATAGCATATTTTATT